CAAGCGAATTCAACTAGACTCTCTCTCTCTCCCACCCCATCCTCACTCACAATTTGGCTCATGATCTAGCAACGAGCGGTATGATTTGATGATAATGATGAAAAATAACGATCACGATTACGGGAGCTAGCTAACCTCCGAGTTAAACACGAAATGCCAGATAAGAGAGAAACGAAAAGATTACCTCATGGTATAATACTCGTAGATGAGATAGATTCACTATAAGTGACTGAGATCTCGTTTATGATCAAATGTGGAATGATCGTAGCTCGGGATAAGGATTTTGTTAGTGTTGGAGGGTTATCCGAGCTGGGGACGATGTTTGCAGACATTTGGCGAACCAGACTAGGCAACGATATCCGTGCGACATTGAGGAGGTACCAGTCTTGATTTTAAATCTACGAAGAATAGGTGCACGAACTGCCCGAAGGGTATCCGGAACTCGGCAATCACAGGTGTACGGGAGGCCTCAAGTCTCTGCTTCGTCTCCGGCAATTGCCGATGGAAGTTAAACTGGATCACAATCTGGGCTGATCTTGCCATGCATGGACCACCGAGCGTGGGCAGCTGCAATGAAACCGGCTTATCCTCTCCCAGGAGACAGACACCGTAAAGGAAAAGTAAGGCCTTGAGTACCGGCAGTGTAGCTGCCAATAACCATATTTCAATCGGAGGCTAGGAGCAAGTACTCCGGTAAAAACATAACACTATAACTTAGGCGATTGTACAGTTTACAATCTCCCAATACTGTCAACGGACAAACATTGATTTCTTCGACGCAGTCAGTTTTTATTTCACACCGCTGTAGGATAAACAGCAGAAATGACGGAATCTATGGCCATTTACAGTTTTGTGACGGAAACCGGCAGTGTGCTCAAACTCGAGAGACAGCCGATATCAAATCCAAGTAAGACAGGTGTATTCGTAAACCAGACGACAATGAAACTATCTATGACGTTGTGTCAGACACGCCCGAATAGATGACGTTAGTTTTCACGTTTAGAAGTCTGGATGGGGACTTGCTTTTTCCAGACGCTGACAATGATAACGAAGAAATCATTCGATAAACGAACCGCAAACTGGAGCACTCGGTGTAATCACATCTGCGTGGATGCGAATCTGGGCGTGACTAGGAATGAACGATCTGGTTGGAGAGAGAGAAAAAACCTAATAGCAAAACTGTGCATCAACGAGGCAATCATGTGATTTGACCCAGAATGTCTAATCTCATGCAACCACGATTTGTAACGCACTTTGGATGATGACCGTGCGATGGTCTAATTTGGATCACTAAACGCAAACGTGGAGGATGTAGCCAACAAATGGATTACTGCTCGGCGAGGCTTGAGTTTTGTTGATGAGGTGCGTTCTATCCTCGGTATGACGACTTTGACTATTATCGCATTAGCCACCGTTCACTGACTTATACGCGTAACTGCTGAGAACGCTATCAGGTCTTTTCTAATGAGAGGGCAATTTTCCCGCCATGTGAGTTGTTGAAAACAAAAGAGAGACTGGATAAACACAACTGGTTGGAAGTTATGGTGACACAGAGCGAGAGAAACGATTGCACAACGGAGTGTACAGTGTGGTTGGCCTCGGTTACTTTACTCTAACTGTGGCTGGCTCTTTGGAAACGATAAGCCAGCTCCAGACATGATCATGATCGTGGAGTTCCTTGAGAATTTGGTAAGATAGATATCACCAGTGTCACTACTCGGTGTTTTTCTATTTGACGGCGCACCTCTAGCCTTTGCACAACCAAGTGTGAATTACAACACAACAGGAAGTTATTCCTCGCCTCGGAATTGAGGGGGTCAAAGACTCTAGTTTTAAAAGACCAGTCACATCGACCCTTGTCACGATACCGTCATTGGATTTATACGGCTTTCAAACAGGATCCAGGTGACCAGTCTGAAACCCACCCAGACTCTGATAGTGCCGCCGCTGTTTGTTCGCGGCGGTATGCCACACAACATCATTCACAGCTAACCCCTTCTTCGGTGAAGGTGTCCGTCCTATCCACAATCCGGGGACGCGCCTGGTAGCATTCTGCTCTGCTTAACCTCATTACAATCATCAGTTTGTCAACGCTCTAACATTTGACATAATTATCATGATCCAGGTTGAAAAATTACAGGTCTCGTCTAAAACTTGATGGGAAACGATATACTAAAGAGTGTGTTCTGAAAGATGTTCAGTATCCTTGACATGTTAATGTGTCCAGATCGCAAGGATGGGGTTTACTTGACAAGTGGAGATAAGATACAGTCAGCATTTACTTTTTTTGTAGCACCACCTTTCAATTTATTCCAGGACTTGTGAATGTAAAAACAAATGTAGCGTTTCTGTTACACTTGAGATTTTCATTCACATGAGTATTGCATGTAATTAGGAAACACTGGAGCTGTACGAGATGTGTCAAATGGTTTGACCATACGGATGCATATCGTTTAAACCTTCTCCAATTAACATGTGGTGTAGCATGCGACCACCACACGTTCTCATTTCTTAGCCAAGCGCTGGAACATCACCATTTTGGTAGAAAATAAGACCCACGCATGGACGCAGCCTACGCTCCACCAGCTGAGCTACGAGGCCACACAGCTTTGTGGCCTCGTAGCTCAGCTGGTGGAGCATGCGCGTAGAAAGCGCAGGCGGTGTCCATGCGTGGGTTCGAATCCCACCGAGGCTACTGAACTTTTCACAATCGACATACAAACTTCAAATCTGTCAAACAACAATTTGAGGAAATAAGACGTTCTAAAATTCGTTAACCTTAGAATACACCGATACTTTTTGATCTGACCCGCCTACAACGGTATGATTAAAATTTTTGAGTCGAGGCTAGAGGACTACGGGTCGTGGTTAAAGCATTGCGGGTGTTGGCTAAAGCATTGAGTGTTTTCACTAAAGCTTGATGAGAAAAGATGTAGATACCCAAATCATGTTCCGGGTGATTGTCATCAAGCGGAAAACCAATGGGGCTACACGGGTGCGAAAACATCTGGATAACGGAGAGTAGTCGTCGAATGCATAACAACACTGCAATCTGTGCAGCATAAACGCGACGGGAACGTTCCGCCTAAATTGGTCGAGACCATATTCGATGACTGGGGACGACGTAGTCAAAATAATAAGTCTCTCTGTCATGAACAGAGGGAGGGGGGAGGCAAGGTTTCCCGGATCGGAAACAAAGCACTACGAACATGGAAAGAGCGCAGATCAGATCAGAGTATTTGG